GCCAAGTTTCCATCAAATACACTGAATGGTTTTCGAATTCTGCCCTGGAAACGAACCCCATCCCCAATTGAGTCTATGTCCAACTTCATTCCATAAAAGTTTAAAAAAATAAAAATAAGAAAAATCCCAAAATATCAAAAGGCACCACTTCAGTATGTGCCTGATAGCTTTGCCAAGTTTCCATCAAATACACTGAATGGTTTTCGAATTCTGCCCCGGAAACGAACCCCATCCCCAATTGAGTCTATGTCCAACTTCATTCCATAAAAAAATTAAAAAATAAAAATTAGAAAAATCCCAAAATATCAAAAGGCACCACTTCAGTATGTGCCTGATAGGTTTGCCAAGTTTCGATCAAATACACTGAATGGTTTTCGAATTCTGCCCCGGAAACGAACCCCATCCCCAATTGAGTCTATGTCCAACTTCATTCCATAAAAATTTAAAAAAATAAAAATTAGAAAAATCCCAAAATATCAAAAGGCACCACTTCAGTATGTGCCTGATAGATTTGCCAAGTTTCCATCAAATACACTGAATGGTTTTCGAATTCTGCCCTGGAAACGAACCCCATCCCCAATTGAGTCTATGTCCAACTTCATTCCATAAAAGTTTAAAAAAATAAAAATAAGAAAAATCCCAAAATATCAAAAGGCACCACTTCAGTATGTGCCTGATAGCTTTGCCAAGTTTCCATCAAATACACTGAATGGTTTTCGAATTCTGCCCCGGAAACGAACCCCATCCCCAATTGAGTCTATGTCCAACTTCATTCCATAAAAATTTAAAAAAATAAAAATTATAAAAATCCCAAAATATCAAAAGGCACCACTTCAGTATGTGCCTGATAGATTTGCCAAGTTTCCATCAAATACACTGAATGGTTTTCGAATTCTGCCCCGGAAACGAACCCCATCCCCAATTGAGTCTATGTCCAACTTCATTCCATAAAAATTTAAGAAAATAAAAATTATAAATATCACAAAATATCAAAAGGCACCACTTCAGTATGTGCCTGATAGGTTTGCCAAGTTTCCATCAAATACACTGAATGGTTTTCGAATTCTGCCCTGGAAACGAACCCCATCCCCAATTGTGTCTATGTCCAACTTCATTCCATATAAATTTAAAAAAATAAAAATAAGAAAAATCCCAAAATATCAAAAGGCACCACTTCAGTATGTGCCTGATAGCTTTGCCAAGTTTCGATCAAATACACTGAATGGTTTTCGAATTCTGCCCCGGAAACGAACACCATCCCCAATTGAGTCTATGTCCAACTTCATTCCATAAAAATTAAAAAAAATTAAAATTATAAAAATCCCAAAATATCAAAAGGCACCACTTCAGTATGTGCCTGATAGATTTGCCAAGTTTCCATCAAATACACTGAATGGTTTTCGAATTCTGCCCCGGAAACGAACCTCATCCCCAATTGAGTCTATGTCCAACTACATTCCATAAAAATTTTAAAAAATAAAAATTAGAAAAATCCCAAAATATCAAAAGGCACCACTTCAGTATGTGCCTGATAGATTTGCCAAGTTTCCATCAAATACACTGAATGGTTTTCGAATTCTGCCCTGGAAACGAACCCCATCCCCAATTGAGTCTATGTCCAACTTCATTCCATAAAAATTTAAAAAAATAAAAATAAGAAAAATCCCAAAATATCAAAAGGCACCACTTCAGTATGTGCCTGATAGATTTGCCAAGTTTCGATCAAATACACTGAATGGTTTTCGAATTTTGGCCCGGAAAAGGAAATGATTACGGACGGACGGACGGACGGACGTATGGACGTATGGACGGACGGACAGACAGACTGGCTGATCGCTTTATCCCCCCGCATTATATGCCGGGGGAATATAAAGGGAGCAGCCCATGGCTTAGACCTTACTTCATACCAGATAATTAAACAACTACCACCCAAACTACTCCAAACTCTTCTAGAACTCTATAACCTCATATATCTAAACGGACAGGACCCATCACCTTGGAAACAAGCCCTGGTCATACCAATCCCAAAACCCAATAAACCAGCTGACGAGGCTAATTCATACAGACCAATCTCCCTAACTTCTAACTTATGCAAAGTAATGGAATCAATGGCAAAAAAAACAGACTACAACACGACTTAGAACAAAACAACATAATAAATCCAGACCAAAGCGGTTTCACTCCTGGACGCTCAACCTTAGATAACGTCGCCCGACTAGAGCAGGACATTAAAACAGGCCAACTTAACAAACAATATACTACGGGTATTTTTCTAGCCTTCTCCAAAGCATTCGACATGGTTTGGCATAACGGCCTAATACAAAAACTACAAAAAATAGGTCTTAAAGGTCAAATAATTAACTACATCCAAAGTTTCCTAACAAACCGCAAAATAACCGTGGGCATAGACCGAACGCTATCGGACCAATGTTCCCTAAAAATGGCACTCTAAGCCCCACACTCTTCAATATTATGATTAACGATCTATTTCAGGGACTATCCCCCAAAGTAAAATCAAAATTCGCGGATGATGGAGCCCTCTGGATCCGCACTAAAAGCATTAAAATGTCTTGTTTGATAGGCATTACTTAGAAGTTGACGGATGACAAGATAGACACAATATTTTATGGATAACAACTTCTTTAATCCTGTGAAAAGCGACGTTTCGGTATAGATCCTTATACCGTTGTCAAGCAAGACTGAATGAGGGACATATGTGCAGAATATATATAGTAGGTGGAGGATTAACAGTAGAGGATTAACAGTAACAACAAAAGCATACATGAGTGGGATAACATAGGTGGGTGTGACAACAAATGGATGATGCTGTCACAACACGATGGACAGAAAACACATAGCTAGAAGCCAATAGGGGCATGAAGCCAATTAACAGGTGATTATTGTTTGATGAGTTCATAGTAGGCGGGTGGGATGAAATAGCCTTGATCTCTGTTGATTGATGGCTTGTGGCGGCGAATGTGGACTGCTTCTGTTAGTTTTCTTTTCGTGAAATCATGGAGGTTGTTGGCGAGGATTTGGACGTTGTCGCAGTTGATGATTTGATTGGGACAGTTGCTGATATGGTCCGAGATGGCTGATTTGCTGTCGAATTTGATGGTGGAGGTTTCATGCTCTTTGATTCTGGTGTTGATAGGGCGGGATGTTTCACCTACGTAAGATTGTCCACAAAAAAATGGCCCAAAACTTACTTCAAAAATCTCTAAATGAAATACAAAAATGGGCTGACAAATGGGGCGTCTCCCTAAACTCAGAAAAAAACACAGAAATAGTATTTAAACACAAAAATATGCAATACGCGCCCCCAAACTCCAACTAAACAACAAACCAATCAAATTTCAAAAACAAACCAAATTCTTAGGTATAATCTTCGATGAACATCTCACCTGGGATGTTCACATTAAAAACCTAGTAACCAGATGCAGCAAAGACCTAAACACCTTAAGATGCCTAACCGGCTCCAACTGGGGGGCCTCTAAAAACACCCTCCTCTCACTCTATATATCACTAATTAGATCAAAACTAGACTATATGCATATGGCAGTGCCATTTACGACACCCTAAACAACTTTCTCATTAAAAAACTAGACTCAATCCAGTATCAGGCCCTAAAACTAATCACACGAACTCAACATGGCACCTCCTCCACCTCACGCCAGGCCTTAACAGGAGAAATGCCACTTAAACTACGTAGGGAACAACTTACCCTAAACTTCTGGGCCGCGTCCCAATCAAACTCTCTAATCGAAAACTTAATAAAAAACAATATCAGCCCTAGAAACCAAGCCCTAGCCCGGAAAAATCCACTACTTACTCAAATTTCACAGAGAATAACCAATTACCTAAATGAACACAAAATACATAATCTTAAACAAAACAATAAATCATCCAATATCTTCACTCCAAAACTTAAAATACCAAAAATAGACACAACACTAGCTGATGCACTAAATAAAAACAGACCGATCCTAACATCGCTAAAATCACCACACTAGCATAGATACACGATAATTGGCATATACACAGACGGATCCTCAGATCCGATCTCAAAAAACACAGGTTTCGGAGTCCACATCGCACAACCAACTAAAAACACCCAATCTTACCGACTCCCAAACAACCAATCCATATTTACGGCCGAACTCATGGGCATGGCCTCAGCACTACACAATCAGCAATCTAAAAAACACCAAAAAATCCTAACCGCCCCAAACAAATAAATCAAATTCTCAAAAGCTCAAACAACTTAACTAAGGCAGATAAACAAATAGAGTTCATTTGGATCCCGCCCACGTAGGAATCTTTGGAAATGAAAACGCAGATAAAGCAGCAAAATTATCCCTTCATCTTCCAGAAATAAGCTTAAACTTACCCAGCTCAAAATTAGAAATCAAAAGTGTCAGCAAAAAATGGCAAAACTCAAATAGCCAAATCAGGAAAGTAGTACACCCATCCAAAAAAATCGACAGAATAATTACTAAACTACAAACAGGCCACACCAAACTAAATAATCACCGTAAAATAGCTAATCTACACATAACAAGAAACACCAGAACACGTACTCATTCACTGCACACACTACCAAACACACCGAACAACACTACAGACCACCCTAAATATTAAAACCGCACTTACACTTGAAACAATCCTAAATCCACAAAATAAATTAGAAGTTTCCAATATAAGTTAGTAAGTAGCAAACTTCACTCTACTTCCACCGAATAAACGCCATCAACTCAGCAGCCTTCTCTGTTCTTCAAGGTAAGACACTATTGACTTAAATGTTAACTTATTCTGTCAACTAAGATCTTAATACGTTAGGTGTAGGTTAGATCTATTTCGACTATATCGTAGCGTTGGGAAAATTATCATTGACTTAATATCCAGACAATAGTTCCTCTCGCGAACGTATATTTTTGTATATTAGCATACTAGTTGCACGGCAACATCCCAATATGAGTATGTGTACCAATGTCAATAACTTGTACGTTCCTACATTCAGTGACACATACTCATAACAATGATTGCCTGCAACTAAGTAGCAATGAAAACTGAGTCGACCAACATTATATTATGTTGTCTGTTATACGAGGTATATGAATGTGACTCTATCTCTGAACACGTGTTGTACACGTATCATATTATCTTGTCATTATAATTAAATGTACTTCACTCGACTTCCACCGAATAAACGCCATCAACTCAGCAGCCTTCTCTGTTCTTCAAGGTGATGGCCAGTCGTGACCGTTCTACTACCGCTAGTTCCCCCAATTAAGTAGTAACACCCAAAAGGACGTCTACGTCACCCAAAAGACACGCTACGTCAAAAGGTTAGTCATGCCCGATCAACAAACGCCTCTTAATCCAAAAGAAACGTCATAGGAAAAGGAAAAAGAGAATATAAATTGTCAATGCAGGAGAATAACCAGCCTAGAATTTCTGCCGAAACAGATTCCTCTTGGCGTAAAGGGTACATCCCCTCGAACTTAGGTGACATCTCTGCTCCGGACACCCACAAACACAACAAAGACAATTGCCACAGGTAAAGTACCCCTAGACTAACAGTCAGTCTCTGAAATCTTATATTACACAATATCCTTCTTGACTCTAAAAATAAAAAAAATCCCTATGCTGATTTCAGAATAGAGCTAGCTTGAGCTGGCTAGACTTGCTTTTGTATGCGTTTCTAGATTCATTTTTTTCATAAAATAAATATATTCCACGGTCATGCTGCAGGACTAACGTACCCTAGTAACCACATGTTATAAACTCAGAATCTAAATCAATACGCGACCACAGCTGTCTTGAATACACCAGAGGCAATACATAAGAAACTCTTAACGCAAAACTGTATTGAAAAGGTTATCATTGAGGTGAAATCCATAATCACTAGTTTGGAATTGAAAGTTCATTCAGTGGACAAATTGAACGAACGAGTAAATAACGTTGAGAACAGTGTCAAATTCATTTGTGAGTCATTTGATGAATGGGCTATTGATAAAAATCAAACTCAAGCTGATATCAAAACATTTCAGGATTAGGCCCCCAGCTTGATGCCTTACAAAAAGAGAATGTGTCTTTGAGGGAACATTTGAGAGAACAATGAGAGACAGTCTAATCTTTTCTAATGTCCCTGATCAAGTGAAGACGTGGTATGAGCAATGATCGTGTTGAAACATGGGAACAGACGGAAGGCATACTCAGAGATTTTATAAAAACTGAACTCAAACTTGCCTGTAGTAGTCCAGTTGCAGTTTGTACTCCAAGCGAGCAACACCTCTCCAAGCCTCCAGAGCCTCCTCAAGCCAACGCACAGCACCGCTGATAGCAAGCCCAGGGAGACTTACTTACTTACTTTGGAGATTTAACGTGCGCTTTCCGACTGATGCGTATTTCGCACACGGGCCCGGCCAGGCCATTTAATGTGTTTCCGAAAGGGGCGAAGGTGGTCTGTGCAACCCAAGAGGGGGGTTTTAGGGGTTGCTTATATAGAATTGGGGAATTTTGAGATTTGGAATAGATGCCGATGGGATTGGGGAGGAGAACTAAGGGAGCTGGGTATGGTGGATGTTTGTTTGTTTATGTCATTTTGATTTGGTAGGTTATTGTGTTTTTAGATGCGTTTTATTAGTTCCGTTTTGATTAAGAATACGCCTAAGGCCTTGAAGTTTTCTAGTTTATTTTGTGGGTTTAGTATTGCTTCTAGAGTTAGAGCCTTGTTTAGATTGAGGGTGGTTTGTAATGCGGTTCGATGTGTTAGGTAGTGTGTGCAGTGGATGAGTGCGTGTTCTGGGGTTTCTGGTTGTTTGCAGTGTGGGCAGTTACCTGTAGTGTGTTTTTTAATTTTTTTTAGGTGGTTATTTAGGTTGGTGTGTCCTGTTTGGAGTTTAGTGATTACTCTGTCGATTTTTTTCGATGGATGGAGAATTTTGGGTTTGGTTAGTGGTTTGCTGAGCACTTTTTTGATTTGGCTATTTGAGTTTAGATATAGGTTATGCCATTTTTTTGTGAGTTTTTGCTTGTTTACACTTTTAATTTCTGATTTTGAGATGGGTAAGTTTAAGCTTATTTCTGGGATTTTGAGGGATAGTTTAGCTGCTTTATCGGCGTTTTCGTTACCGTATATTCCTACGTGGGCGGGTATCCACAAGAAGGTTATTTGTTTGCCTGTCTTAGTTAGGTCGTTGGAGCTTTTAAGTATTTGATTTATTAATTTAGGTCGGTTTTGGGTGTTTTTGTTTTGGAGGGCTTGCAGTCCACTTAGGGAGTCGGTAGGTATTAGGATATTTTTGTGTTTTTTGGATTCTTGATTATGGGGGGCTGAGGCCATGCCCATTAGTTCTGCCGTGAATATTGATTGGTTGTTTGGGAGTCGGAAGGATCGTGTGGTTTTAATTGGTTGTGTGGTATGGACTCCGAAACCTGTGTTGAGATCGGGTCTGAGGATCCGTCCGTGTAAATGTGACACCAATTTGGCCAATTTTCGTGTATGTATGCTAGTGTGGTAGTTTTAGCTATGTTTGGGTCGGTTTGTTTATTTATTTGGCTGGCTAATGTTGTGTCTATTTTGGGTATTTTAAGTTTAGGGGTGAAGATATTTGATTGTTTGCAGTTTTGTTTAAGATTTTTAATTTGGTGTTCATTTAGGTAGTTTGTTATTCTTTGGGATATTGGGGTAAGTAAGGGGTGTTTGCGAGCTAGGGCTTGGTTTTTGGGGCTGATGTTTCGGTTTATTAAGTTTTGGATGAGAGGGTTTGATTGGGACGCGGCCCAGAAATTTAAGCTTAGCTGTTCCCTGCGTAGACTTAGTGGCATTTCTCCTGTTAAGGCCTGAAGTGAGGTGTAGGAGGTGCCTTGTTGGGTGCGTGTAATTAGTTTGAGAGCCTGATATTGTATTGAGTCAAGTTTTTTAGATAGAGAGTTGTTTAGGGTGTTGTATATGGCGCAGCCGTAGTCTAGTTTTGATCTAATTAGTGATATGTAGAGAGAGAGGAGGGTATCTTTGGATGCTCCCCAGTTAGAGCCAGTTAGGCATCTTAGGGTGTTTAGGTCTTTACTGCATTTAGTTGTTAGGTTTTGGATGTGAGCATCCCAGGTGAGATGTTCATCGAAAATAAGTCCTAAGAATTTGGTTTGTTTTTGAAATTTGATTGTTTGATTGTTTAGCTGGAGGATTGGGGAGGCGGGTTTCATGTTTTTATGTTTGAATACTATTCCTGTTGTTTTTTTCTGAGTTAAGGGAGAAGCCCCATTTGTCAGCCCATTGTTGTATTTTATTAAGAGATTTTTTTAGTAGATTTTGGACCATGTTCATGCTTTTAGTGCGGATCCAGATGGCTCCATCATCCGCGAATTTTGATGTGTTTACTTTAGGGGATAGGCCCTCGAATAGATCGTTTATCATTATATTGAAGAGAGTGGGGCTGAGGATACTGCCCTGTGGAGTACCATTTTCTAGGGGACATTGGTCCGATAGAGTTTGGTCTATACCCACGGTTATTTTACGATTGTTTAGGAAGTCCTGGATGTAGTTTATTATCTGACCTTTGAGTCCTATTTTTTTAAGTTTTTGTATTAGCCCATCGTGCCATACCATGTCGAAAGCTTTAGAGAAGTCTAAGAAGATGCCTGTGGTATATTGTTTATTTAGTTGCCCTGTCTTAATATCTTGTTCTAGTCGGGCGAGGTTATCTAGGGTTGAGCGGCCAGGAGTGAAACCGCTTTGATCTGGGTTTATGATGTTATTTTGGGTTAAGTAATGTTGTAATCTATTTTTAGCCATTGATTCCATTACTTTACATAAGTTTGAAGTTAGGGATATTGGCCTATATGAGTTAGCTTGATTAGCTGGTTTATTAGGTTTAGGGATTGGTATGACTAGGGCCTGTTTCCAGGGAGTAGGAACCTGTCCGTTTAGGTAGATGAGACTGTATAGTTTGAGTAGTGCCTGGAGTAGTTTTAGGGGGAGTTTTTTAATTATTTGGTATGAAGTTAGGTCTAATCCTGGGGCTGTGCCCTTTTTCCTGTTTTGGATTACGTAGAGGAGCTCCTCCATTGTGTAAGGTTGATTTATTTCTAGATTGTTATTGTTTGGTTCTTTTGTGGGTTTGTTTTCTGTTTTAAGTTTATCTTGGAATTTTTTACTAAAGTTTGTGTTACTGCTAACGGCCGAAAAGTGGTTGGCGAGATTATTTGCTTTTTGGGCGGGGTTGGTTGAGTTGTCAATGTTAGGTTGTTTTTTATGTCGTTTTAAGCCTCTGATGGCGTGGATTTTGCGCCAGACCATTCTGGCATCTGTACGGTTATTTATACCTTCGCAGAATTTTTTCCAGTCTCTACTTTTGGCTATTTGGACTAGTTTTTGAACCTGGTGGTTTAGTTCGTGGGCTATGTTTAAATATTTGTAGTCGCGTTTTGCTTTATTGAAGGCTGATTTACGTTTTCGTCTAGTCTGTTCTATTTCCTCATTCCACCATGGTACCGTCGGTTTGCCTGTCTTAGATGTTTTGAAGGGGATGGAGGTTTTGGCTGCGTTTATTATATAGTCTGTTAGGTTTTTACAATAGGTTTCTGGATCATTATTTTCTATTTCGTTTAAGTTAGCTTCGTTGCAGACGTCTTGGAATTGGTCCCAGTTAGCTTTATTGTAGTGGAATTTTGGTTCTTGGTTTTCTGTTTGGATTGGTACGTTTGTATTTCCTATGGTTATGTTTATGGGGAAGTGGTCACTACCTAGCGGGGCGTCGTGCACTTCCCATTGAGTACTTTGGGCTAGATCTGCGGTGCATATGGTAAGGTCGATAGCCGACATTTTTTGGTTTATCTTATCGTACCTCGTGGGTTGGTTGCTATTAAGGAGTACTAGGTCGTTTGTTTCTATCCATTCGGAGATTAATTTGCCATGATTATCTATTTTATCATCTATGCTCCATGTAGGATGGTGAGCGTTAAAGTCTCCTAGGAATATAGTAGATTTATCGCTTATTTGGAGTAGTTTGTTTAGATCCTCAGGTTGGACTTTTTGTTCCGCCCAGTGGTAAATATTTATGATGTTTATGTTTCGGTTAATTACTGTGATTTTAATGCCTTGGCTTCTAGCTTTGGCGTGTCTATTTTTATTTCTTCGTAATTTATATCTTCCCTGATAAATATGATTAGTCCTCCTGCGGCTCTTCTTGTTTTCGGTTTAGCTCTGTCAGTTCTAACTGAGTTGTAATTAGGTAGTGTGAATTTGGATTTTTTTGAGAATTTGGTTTCCTGTATACAAGCAATGTGAGGGCCTTTATTTAGTTTAAATTTAGTTTTTAGTTCATGGCCGTGGGAGGTGAGTCCGTTGGCGTTCCACTGGAAAATATTTAGTCCTTCGAATATTGGGTTCGGGTGATTGGTGATTTAGTTTTTAGTTTTTATTTTATTCGGTGAGTTCTTTTAGATGGAGGTTAAAGAGGAAGAAGGGAAGATTGGTTAATTTTAGATTGAAAGCTACTTTGTGGAAGGATTTCATGCTAGCTTTTGGTGAGTTTTGACTATGCATGTATGCTAGGAGTAAGGTGAGGTTATTTAGGTTTTGGATGTTGGTTGGTTGGGGAGTTTGGTTTGCTTTAGTTGGAGTAGTGTCTATTGTTTCCTCAGTAATGGAGAAATCTTCGTCACCGGTTAGATTAGGTTTAGCTGATTGAGTTTCCATGGGGGAGGCATGTGATGTGGAGGATTGTGAAGGTGTTTGTGGGATGGGTGTAGCTGATGATTTCTTAGTGTTTGTGTTTTGTTGTTGTGCTTGCTTGTGAGAGAGTGTTGTTACCATATGGGCTGTAGGGTGCTTGGATGAGGGTCGTGTTGTGGTGGTCATTTTGAGGTTTGTTTTGCATGCGGGGGTTGATGTTTTGGCTATGTGAGATGTGGGAGGGTTCGTGGTTGGTTGAGTGGCTGCTTGTGTGTGTGAGGTGGGTGCGGTTTCTCGGTAGGGGGCCCAGACAGAGCTGTCGGTTATGGGTGTGGTGTTGGTTTGTGGGATGGTGTTTGGGTGTGGTGTAGGGAGGAGTGGTTTAGATGCAGGTGTAGCAAATTTTCGTGTTTGGATTTTAGCCGTGTCTATGTTTATGTGTTTGTTGGCCTGCTGGGTGAGTGTGTGTCTGTATGGGCATTGGTTTGAAAGTGAAGTGTGTTGGGTGGATTTGCAGTGGATGCACCAGGGTGTGCATGTGCCCAGGGAGAACTTCAAAGGTAATTATATAACCACTCACCCATCCATTCACAACAACCTACACCTCCTAATCAACGCTAACACCCAAGCCCAAACCTAAAACTACACTCACAAAGCCCACCTAAACAAACTC